GTACATTTTTTTGCAGATTTGGATGAAAACAGTAGGGGTGGTAGCCCCTGATGAGGCCATGAAGCCTGCCAGGTTTCAAGGAGATGGGTGCAGGGGTTTCTAGGAAACTGCACCTCAAAAAACTTGTGACATGTGTGACTTTGTGTGTGTTAAGGCGCAGTGGGATGAAACCAGCAGGGATGGTACCCTGCAGCAGAGAGCCTTCCCGGTGCTCAGGCACAAACAGCTCACAAAAGGGACAGAAAGTCTGCAGACAGAGATTTATGTGCTGTTTTGATGTCTCTCCTCCAGAGCACTGTGATTGGAAGTGCTCAGTTCCTGTTCCCATGAAAGAATCAATTCAGAGGCTTTTTTTGGTCTCCCGATTCGATTTGGATTCAGTGATTCGGCCTCTGAATCTTCTCTGAACTGAATCAGCAACCGAAGCTTTGCACACCCCTATTATCTGACCTTAATTAGCAGCCCCTCTATATCCAAATGGAGAGTTGTTATACAAGAACAGCTAAAATAGCAATGGTGAGACACCAAAGGTAAGTTTTGGCACGGCAAAAAAAGAAAAAAAAAATTTTGCAAAAATAGTTAAGTGAAATTCTGTGGACTGTCTTTTGAAAGATAACCCCAAACACCCACAAATTAAGTACAACTCCTGAGGAGGAGAATCCGAGAGAACTTTCACAAAGCTACCATCTTCATGAAGCTCTAAATCAGAAAATCTTCTTTACCTCCAAACCCCTAAATAGAGGGAACTGGAAAAATGCAAACACTGGTCCAAAATTTTTGTTTCAGAGTACTTCATAGCCATAAGTAAGTAGTCTTAAGGTACAGTGTAAACACTACTGCTTAACAAGAGGCAGAAGAGGAATTCAGCAGGTCAGTACTGAAATAGCCATTTGCTTTTCTATTTTGTAATACTGGTAAGTGCATTTCATTTTAAACCACAGGAAGGATCTGGGGATCCACAAAGATTTAAATATAGGTCGGTAGCCAGGCATTAAATTTCACTTGTCCAGACATTTTTTTCTCCTGGTTTACTAGTTCCAAGTACTGAAGAACATCTAAATTTACAATTTAAAATAAATAAATAAATAAATAAATAAATAAAGGATTCCCTCAGAGAAATGTAAACTCAATAGATGTCAAATTTCAACTATTCAAGCTAAAAGTGGTTAAACAATTACTGTGAAAACAGTAACTGTGATTATGGTTTGTCAGTTTTAAAAACTTCACCATACTACTAAGAACTGAAATCTTACTAATATTATTATTCACAATGAAAAATAAATAGTGTTAAAAACATACTTGGGCTGCCATTTTCAGCAACAAAGAAATAATTAGTAGCATGATCTTTAGCAGATATACATGACTGAAGGGCATTCAATTCTAGCTTCCATTTTTAAAGCCAGGGATTAAGTCCTTAATGGGGCAAAGTATGCCTTATCTATTCGGACTGGACACATGCAGAAAAAATAAAAATTTCTGCTGCCAGCAGAATGTGCCAGCTGTTTTTGCTCAATAAAGATGTTTAGGGAAACAAAGCAGAAAACAAGATCCAGAATGGATACCCACATTAGGTCTTTTTGCTATTGCTGAATTTGTCATCTTCATCGCTTGTAAGTTACTCCAGAGGTAGACAATTGTGGGACCCTTTTTTATTTTGGAAGGTATGCTTAGGTACTCACCTTGATCTATTAAACAGATGATGACTTTCTGATTTTTGTACATTTAAAATTAATCATAATGTGTTTTTAAAATTGATTTAAGATGCTGCTCACGTTAATCAAAAGTTTTAAGTTAATTACCTGCCCCACTGTTGCCATATTTCTAGCTTCCTCTGACACACTGATAGAATTACCCTGCTCATTCCATATGTGGCGAATGACCTGAATTGCATGTTTTGGCAGCACACTGACTGTACTGCTCAGGCTGGCAGAGAGTTCTTCTGCAGAGACATTGTTTTTGGCAGCTGTGCTGTAAACAGATCCAAAAGACAGACATCAAAATTTTGTGTTTCAGAAATTAAGAGATTGGTCTCTCACTCCAGACGGGCAAAAGGATTTCCATCATCTCTCTCCATCTATATTTTGTATTTTGCTAGCTATATTTTAATAAATATAAATAAAATAAAATAAAAATAATGATTTTTACCCCCCGCAAAAAACCTTACAATAGGACATTTTATATTTATACAAAACAAGTAGGATCATATCTTGTTCTCTAATGCACATAACTAGTTTCCCGAGATTCAGACAGAGACATTGTTTTTCTGGCTGTGTATAGCACATAGGAAACTACAATACTAATGGAAACCTTTAAGCTATGGCACCTTAAAAAAAGGTTATTGAACACTCTGTATGTGTGCATGCACACAAATAGCATAATAAATACTGGGTATCATAGTTTTATTTATGAGTGTTTAAGGAATGAGTGTTTGGCAGTGACCCAAAGAGTTCTTAGTTTAAAAATTAGCCCGAGTCAAATAAAATAACATGCCCAAGTAAAGATGTAGTAAATTCAGAGCAAGAGTGAAAAACACGGCACACAAACCTCGCAACAAGACAATCCTAAAAAAGAAAAAAAACCCAACAATATATTAGTCATTAGGTATTAGTCATGCCAGCCCTCTTCCATGATCTCAAACAATAAATCAAGGAGCAGATCCTCAAGGAATCCATTTCTAAGCACTTGGAGGAGAAAATGGTGATTAGGAACAGTCATCATGGATTCACTAGAGGAAGTCATGCCTGACCAATCTGATGTCTTCTATAACACAGTGACTAGCTCTGTGGATGTGGGGAGACTAGTGGATGTGATGTACCTTGATTTTAGCAAGGCTTTTGATACAGTCTTCCACAACATTCTCGCAAGCAAGCTAAGGAAGCACAGGTTGGATGAATGGACTGCAAGGTGGATAGAAAACTGGCTGAAGCACCAGGCTCAGAGAGTAGTAATCAATGGCTCAATGTCTAGTTTGCAGCTGGTATCAAGTGGAGTGCCCCAAGGTTGGTCCTGGGGCTGGTTTTGTTCAAGGTCTTCATCAACAACCTGGAAAATGACATCGAGTGAACCTTCAGCAAGTTTGTAGATGACACCAAGCTGAGGGGAGTAGTATATATGCTGGAGGGTAAGGCTAAGATTCAGAGTGACCTAGATAAATTGGAGGATTGAGCCAAAAGAAATCTCATGAGGTTCAAGAAGGACAAGTGCAAAGTCCTGGACTTAGGATGGAACAATTCCATGCACTAGTACAGCCTGGGCAGCAGCTCTTCAGAAAAGGACCCAGTGGTTACAGTGGACAATAATATGAATCAGCAGTGTGCCCTTGTTGCCACGAAGGCTAATGGCATACTGGGCTGCATTGGTAGGAGTGTTGCTAGTAGGTCCATGGAATTGATTATTCCCCTCTATTCATCACTGGTGAGGCCACATCTGGAGTAATTTGTTCAGTTTTAGGACCCCTACTACAGAAAGGATGTAAACAAATTGGAGAGTCCATGGAGGCAACAAAAATGGTGAGGAAGCTGGGGGACATGACTTCAGAGGACAGGCTGAGGTAACTGGGCTTATTTAATCTAGAGAAGAGAAGACTGAGGGGGTATTTAATAGCAGCCTTCAACTACCTGAAGGGGGGTTAAAAAAAAGGACGGCATTAGACTGCTCTCAGTGGTGGCAGATGGAACAAGGAGCTAAGGTCTGAGGTTGCAGCAAGGGAAATTTAGGTTAAATATTAGGAAGAATTTTCTCACTAGGAGGCGAGTAAAACACTGGAACAGATTACCCAGATAGGTGGTGGGAGCTCCAGCCTTGGAGAAAAAAAAACCCAAAAAACAACACAGCTTTGGCTGGGATGCTTTAGTTGGGGATGGCCCTACTTTGAGCAGGGGAAGTTGTACTTCCAGCCCTTCTAAGGTCCCTTCCAACCCTAATTTTCTATGATTTCTATGAAGCAGTAAAAAGGTCTCCATTAACAACTTCCATTTTGACATCTTAGGTAGCCAAGTTAAACAGTACTATAAACTTGCAAACAAAGTCTCAAAGGAGCAATTACGACTTCCTTTCTACATTCACCACATTTTTATAGACAGACTAGCTGAAGTGAAAAAAAGTTACTCAATTCAGATTTATGGTTTAATTAAAAACATACAGTAAAATTGAGGATTGAAAGGAGCCAGAAAATCTTGGTTTTACATACATGAGGGAATCAAAAGAGCTCACAAACTTAACTCAATATATATTATAACCCTCAACCTTAAAAAAAAAAGAAAAAAGGAGAGATTGGAAGACGGCAGAGAGATGATTTTTACTCACCTTAATAAAAAGGAAACAACATTAACTACCTTTGCCAAGTCACCAACATTCAATTCAATCCCAGTCGTTCTAAATCTCTAGTAAAAAGAATGAGAAAATAGTTACAAAACAGCCATTCTTTAAAGGACATTTTACAATTCACTGTACAAGTTGTATACCCTAATGTAAACTGGTGTAGTGGCTATAACCAGCCATTACTGATGGAACTCACCTGACATAATTCTACTGTATTCACACCTGGGATCTTACCACAAAGATGCTGAATAATTTGCTCACACTACAAAAAAAAAAAAAAGTTAAATGAAGATTGTTAATATATTATTTTTTAACTGTACTTGACTGCTGTTCATCTGAGCAGGCAACTAAAGCCAGATTTCAGCACTTTGATTCCCTAAAATATTGATCTGCTGCAACAGTGAACAAGCAAGCAGTCTACTAAACTGTTATATATGAGTATACTAAATGAGATGAGGTGACTATATAAAGTAAGAGGTCACTGCTAAAGTGACACAAATACCACCAAAATTGCAAAAGAACATATAGTCAAATTACTGGTCTGCCTTCTGTTAGTGTAATTTCTAACTGACAGCCATAAGGGTGCATAAGTTTTCCTAGTGGTAAGAGATGTCATAGATAAAACCAAGAAGAAGCTGATGGTTTTTCAAGCTAGCTGCCCCTGCATGCCCCACTCAAGAAAAAAACATAGCAATATGAACATTAAATGGACTCAGCCTCACTGAGGAAAAGGTTTAGTCCACTTGTGCCGAAGTTCAGGGCACTTCCCTGTAATGGAAAATCGTGCCAGCAGAGATACCGTCATAACCCACTTTAACTTTACAACAGATGCAGTCATAGCAATGAGTGATAGAAACATTACTCACTAGCTCTGCAAATAGGTCTTGTGGTACTGATCTAATGGTATCAGCTATATTGCCAAAATCTAAAAATAAAAATAATAAAATCAATCAATCAATATTAGTCAGTTAATGCCCCTCCACAAAAAAACAAACAAACCCCAAAACAACTTCAGGCAAGGTTTCAACCTCATCGTCTCTATAACAAGACACTGCTCTGACAGGCCTAAAGAATTGATCCGCTGTGACGATGTCCAAGCAGCCAGTCTGCTAAACTATTATACACAAATATACTGAAGGAGAGGAGTATAAAAAAGGGAGGGAATAGGTATATTTCATGCATGCATGTTGTGCCCCAAAACAAGACACTTGAAGTAACCAAATTCCAGCTTTCTAAGCAAGAATTGAATAGCATGATCCAAGATTTTCCAAGCCATAAGGGACCAATACTTTTCAACCAATTATCATCTCATGGTCCACTTCTGCATCAAGCACAAAAAGCTGTTATGCACAGGACACACAGATGTACACGTCCCCTCACACCCCTGTCACAAGAAAGATGGCTCTGGAGCTAGAAACTTCAGAGGATGGAGATAGCCTGATGGATGCTGTGCCCCTGAATGCCAGCTTCAGCGGTCTTTAGGGCTCTTATCAGGATCCCTGCAGGAAGCTGCCACAAAAGTAGGAGGACTTGATATACTTGACAAAGGACACCCCAGGAAGGTGCCATTGAAAGGAACCAGAATATCTTGGCTTTAAGTACAGAAGGGAATGCAAGGAGCTCACAGGAACTCCATGTCCAAAACACCCCCTGCACCAAAGGAGGGAGGGAGGAAAGGAGGAGCATTCAACCCCCAAAGTCCCCCATCCCACATCCCTACTCCGAACCCCGCTGCCCTTGTTCTGGCCCCCCAGACACACGCCCACCCTGCCCTGAGAGGGACAGGTGGGAACATGCCCTCCCCTCGCCCGGGAACGCATGGACAAACACCCTAGGACAGGACGAGTGGACAGACACCCTCCCTCCACTGGACGGCAGGACGCACACACGCGCGCACACCCCCGCCCTGCCCGGGGACGAACGGACACACGCCCCCCACCCCAGGCCAGACACCGTAAGCAAGCCCCCGCCCGAAGTCACCGAAAGGCTCCAGGGCCTTGGCGAGCGCCGCCGAAGCCATCTTCGCCCGCCGCTTCCGCTCCCAGCAGCAGCCACCTTAGTTAGCCAGCACTACCAGCCCCGCCCCCTCGTGCCTCCTCTTGCCTTCCGCCGCGCTTCACGCTTATTGGATGCGAAGCTGTTGCTCTGGCCCGCCCCAAGCTTTCATTGGTTGCTCAATCCGGAGTTCACTGGAAGAAGGGCAAGGAGGAGGAGTGCGAGGGTCAGGTTTCTTTCCTTCCCTTCCTGTCCTTCTTCCGCCAGGCTAGTGCCCTGGCAGGTGATACTGAGACGCGTTATTCTGGCCTCGCTAGTGATGGGCCTGGGGTGTCACAAGGGCGGCTCTCCCTGCCTCTTTCCACAGTGTGTTTGCTCTGTCAAGTCGTCAGGGTTTTTCTTCCACCCCACCTTAAGGCTAATGAAACTGTTAATAAACCTTGCAGAGATGTTGGTTGTAGCTGTGTTGGTCTAAGGACATAGCCAGGCAAGGTGCTTTGAGTAGATGTGATATCCTTTATTAGATTTAGTAGGTCTAATAAAAGGCATGGCATCTACCCAAAGTACCTTCATAACACTTAAACTTGTTAAAGCCTGAAAGTGTCCTCTCTACAAGGCACTGAATCAAATTGCCCAGAGTTAGCAGATGTCACACTCTGTAGGATACAGCTGGAGTGTTGTTGTAGTTGTGATGGGATCGTCTGAAAAGCAAAGATTGATTTGATTTGATTTTATTCTGGTGATATTTTTTATTTGACCAACTGTATAGCTGGGAAAGATGTTGAACAAGTTTCCCAACATCAATCACCCTTCCTCATGTCTCAGGTTCAAGGAAGGGCACTTCATTCCCCAAATCTTGTCCAACAGCTCTCCCAACTATCCAGTTGATCCAGTAAAAAGGTACCACAAAAAAATCTGTGCCACTTTGTATGGTATCATTGAACCCCATCCTGCAGACCAGCTTTTTCACATGGCCACAGTGTGGCACTGGGGAGTGCTGGCACTGCACTGTGATGACATGATGCAGCACAGTCATTCAGCAATGTTTTTCCAAATCAGGACAGGTGGCAACTCTAGTTTTCACCCATAGATTTTCATTTAAAAATATATACTCTGACATGACATTTTTCTCCGTACAAGTTTTATAACATTCCATTATGTTTTATTTTAACATTCCAATAAAATGTTATTTTATTATTATATAATTAAGAGGTCCCTTCCAGCCCCTAACATCTATGAATTAGTTACAAGACTATTCATATTGAAAATAATCTTACTGAGCAATATAACATAACAACTTGTGGCAGCGCTGATTGATCTGCACTCCATGATTTCACATTCAACCAAATGAAAATTTTCCTCCAAAAGGGATGTGTTATTGTGTGCCATTAAGGACCTGTTTATTGTTGTCAGTAAGAAGCACCATATGTTGATGTGTCACTATCCTGTGTAGTCACGGCCTCTCCCTTCCCAATTCAATAATTATTTATGTATATGCGACTGCATAGTACAGATCTTTATTATATTATGTTTGGCAAAATATCCTGCATCAGGCAAGTCAGACTTGCCTTCAGTAGCAGGGGACTGGGAAGGTCCCATTAGTTTTGTGTGCCTTAACTCGGTGACTCATGTACACACTGTTCTGTGCTCATCACCATAGTACCTACCTTCTAGTAGTGCATTAAGTGACATGACTAACATGTCGAATGTTGCTTGTTCTTTCCCTCTCCAGACAGAGAAATATGTTCAGTGGAATGTTTCATTTTCTTTTCTTCTTTTTTTAATATACGTGTTGCTATATATTGATGCTACGGAAAGGAAGGTCAAAATATTTGAGATGCAGGAGTGGCTTAGGTATAGTTGATGCTGCCTTGGAGAAGGGTAATGGACCTCTCGATATCCCTTTCATCCTATTTTCTATGATTCTGCATAATGCACCTGGCATTTGGAGGTAAAAGTTGAGAGGCTTGTAATACTCCTAGTTCCTGAGGGAGTTCATGTCACAGCCTCAAAATGGCCCCCAACAAAGGTCTACTTTCCATGTAGATGTGGCCATATTCTCTTATACCTTAGTGTAAAAAGTGTTAATGTGTCAGAGGAGCTGTCAATCCCAAAATTCAACTGCAAACTTTAGGTCACTTTTTAAATATCCTGGGCCTTAAAAATAAGGGCTAAATTATTGAATTTTGTTCAGTATTTTATGGGCAGCCAATGTACAAGGTGGAGAACAAGTCTGATGAGCTCACAGTAATGCAGGTTGCTGCACAATTCTGTACTAGCTGGAGATTCCTATACACAGAAAGTCTTCATACCCACACGTTGCATTGCTGTAGTCCAGGAAAGAGGTAACAAAGATGTAAATAAATACAGCCAAGATCACAGGGTGGAATGGAATTTCCTAGCCAGCTGGAGATGACAGAAAGCATCATTTGTGAATATTGCTATGAGAGAGCAATTGTGCATTTCAAAATCTTGAATGTATGATCTTCATAATGTCTCTGTGAAAAAGGAAAGCATAAGAATTCCCATTTTACTGGATGGACACTGAGACACAGAAAGGTTTATGCATCCAGTGTTACACCTGATATTTGTGGTAGAACAGGAGATTAACTGGGTGTCAGACATCCTAGATTGGCATGCAAAGTACTGGCCCATGCTTTTTGCAGAAGTCCAAGTGTACTAATCAGGGTATGAATTAAGGGGGACCTTGGGGTGGCTGAGCCGCCCCATAAGAGATGAGAGCCCTGCTGTAAGATTTGAAAATCATAACCTGGGGGGCGGTCTCTGATCCAATTGCTTCTTCATTTAGGTGGACTTGTTAATCAATGAACCAGTTTAATTTTTTTTTGCAGACCCCCCAGGAGTCAAAGTGTAATTCAAACCCTGCTCCTAATCTATGTACTGAACTAATTTCTTTCAGGGAAAGCAGATTGTGCCTCACCTGGAGTATTGTGTCCAGTCTTCAAGAAAGATGCGGACAGTTTAGAAAGAGTCCAGTGCAGAGCAACAAAAATGATTAGGGGCTGGGAGGTAAGACTTATAAGGAAAGAGTGAAAGAACTAGGATTATTTACCCTGGAGAAGAGAAAACTGAGGTGGGATTTGATAAATCTTCAAATACCTGAAGGGGGATTATACAGAGATGAAGGATATGGGTTTTTCTCTGTGGTCATAGGGAGTAGGACTAGGAAAAAAGGCCTCAAGCTGCAGCAGAGGAAATTTAAGGTGGGGATCAGGAAGAATTTTCTGACTAAGAGAGTGGCACTAGAGCAGGCTACCTAGAGAAGTTATTCTTGGAAACTTTCAGAAGCAGATTAGACAGACACTTGCCTGGGATGTTTTACTCAGGGATAATTCTGCCTTGAGCTAAATTACTTCATAAGGTTCCTTACAGCCCTACTTTCCAGCAATCCTATAGCTTCAAAATCCTTTCCTCTATCCATCAGCCATGTCAGCCTTGCTCAGGTTTAGCTTCAGGAAGCTGTTTTTCACCTGTCAGAATCTTGTCCAAGTAGTGTGCCATATTGATGCTAGTAATATTCATGTGGTAGAGGACAGGTACAACCACATCACCTGAATATTATGTACTTGAGTTCAAGTTGTTGGACCAATTCGCCTGATGGCATCGTATTGTTACTAAAAGGGATTGGAGAAAAAAAATGATCCTCGGTTTCAACAAGTGAAGTCTAGTAGAAGTGCAGTTTCCTATTACCATGAACCATTTTAGTGCAGGGGTTGCCCACCTCCAGCCCCAAGGCTGAATCCACTCCACAAAGAGGCTGGCTTTGGTTTGAAATCTGACTCAGCCTGCAATGGTATGCAGGATTAGGCAGCATGCAGCTACAGCAAGTCACCAGTCTCCTCTACAGCACCCTCCGCAGCAATCCTCCCTGCTGTTCTCTTGTGTTCACACTTAATCTTATTAAAGTAAGGCCATGTATCTTCTAAGAGGGAAGTGCAGGCAGCTTTAGTTGGGGGTCAGAGGCTTGCTGTCTATGGTAGGGAGTCAAATCACACTTTCCAGTCTGGAGACCTGCTGACCTGCTTTAGCACATTACTCTGGACTTAACTCTCATAGGTAAGATGACTCTCATCATTTATGATGTTGAATGATGCAGGGAAGTTCATGAGTATCAGGATGGATGCGACAAGAGATCACTTTTTAGTACCAGTAAAGCAGTTTCAGTTCTGTCTCTTGGCCTGAACACAGATTCTTCTGGCTTGGGATATATGTTTCAATTACAGGAGCCAGAGTGTTTTTTGGGCTAGCTTCCTGAACTTGCTCATGAAGTTTTGAAAATATATGCACTAGCTACAGGGGGCCTCAGGGCTGGTGAGACTACTGCATGTATTTGTCAGCAATCCCTCAATTTGAGGATGATCTCTACTATGGCTCATCGATCAAGACCATTGGCTTATGGTCTTGAGGTGACCTAATAGTCCAATCCTTGAGCCACAGACCCACTGTGTGTATTAAGAAAGGCAAATTCCCTCTCAGAATAAGATAACAGCTATTTCATGCAGGGATGGTACCTGCTGCTGCTTTCTCTTTCACAAGATAGGAGATGTGGGCCAGATTTAGTAACCCTGGGTTTAGTGTGTCCAAAATTCATTGATAAGCATTGAATTCTAGGAATTGGATTGTTGGTTGATGGGTTTAGGTACAGTGGGTCCTTGCTTTTGAAGCTACTTGAATGTGTGTGATCCTTTCAGCAAAGTAGGATGGTAATTTTCTGCAGTACCTGGCCATTAAGCACCGGGAAGCTGGCAGGAAGGATCAGCTTAGACTTAGAGGAATTTATTCCTCCTGTCTAAAGTACCACTCACTTCAGAAAAATCAAAAATCACAACATGGACTTCAACACTTGAGACTGGCCACCAAATAACTAAATATTTTATAAGTCAACTAACGTTTTGTTTTACTTTTTAATTTTCTTCCAACCTTTTTGGGGGTGTATAGGGTAACATAATGTTGAAGTATAAACCTTTAATCAATACACAAACATACATCTCTTCCTGACTGCTCAAATGAAGATTTCCCTCACCACCTACTCACCACTACAATAGGGGAATGGGTCATCCATTTCCTACTACTAGCTGGAGAAAGAGCCAAGATGCTTTCTGACTTCCCATATTCTCTTCCTTGATCTTCCTCCCAAATGTGTCTTGCCTCATATTCTCTTGACTTTCCGTACTGTCACCATCTACATAAACCAAACATTAAGAATGGTGACAGTGGTTTAGAAAACACAGTATTTATTTCCATGCACATCTAAAAATAGCACAGTTAACTCATTGTTTAAAGTCTTATACTACAACTTGAATAATCTTTAAGCTAAGAGAGCTTATTAGGGAAATATCTTCGTTAGGGGATTTCTCCCAGAAGCTTGTTGGCCTGTTCAAGATGAATCATAATCAATACACTCTAAATCAGTGATTCTTAACTGGCGTTCCATGGCACCCTAGGGTGCCTTGAGATGCTTTCAAGGGAGCCATGCAATGTTAGCATTGTTGGGGGTGCAAACATGATTCACAAGATAAACCCAGAGCTCTCAACTAAGAATCTACAGTGTTAATAGCTTTGACCTACTGTGGTCTTTCTAAGTTCTCTGCAACAGAAGAATTGCTCTATTATTTTTCTGTAGTCAAAAAAATCGAGTGAAAGGTAAGAACTGTCATTCTCCTAGGGGTGTCTTGAGCTGAACAATGGGTTCAAGCCAAACAAGGGGTGCCTGGAGTATAAAAAGATGGAGAACCACTACTCTTAAGAGTAATCCCAGTACTGCTGGAAATGCTTTAAAATGAAAGGCAAGCAAGTGTAGCTGTTGAATCCAGGACCCTACAGTTTTACTTTGGCTCCCATTCCTCTCTCACCTCCAGCTTAGAGGTTTCTCCTCTGTACAGATCTCAGCAACTTTCTCTGATTTCCCTTGCTCTTGACCCATTGCCAAGGGGCTTCTGCCATGGAGGGAGACACACATCATACGCAGAGATGAGGGCACAGCAGGTCCCCCACATCACCCAATTTTGTCCCCCATATGCTGTTTTTATGGCTTAGCACCTGGGGGACTTCAGAGGGATGGTGATACACATCACCCCAGCGAAGTGTGACTGCCTAAGGGAAAAGCTGCAGCAGCAAACTGACATTGAGGGCAGCCAGGGACAAACCACTGAGCCAGAAGAAATGAAAAGACCTGAGGTTATAGGCCAAGATGAGGTCCAGAGCTTGCAATAGGCACAGGGAGTTTTAACTGGGAGACATGTATCAGGCACATGGCACCCTGCACTCACAGACACTGGCTTTGAGCTGTCTAACCCTAAATCCTCTTCCCATCCCCATTTGCCCATTTTCCAGAGCTCGCCTTCCAGTCCAAGAAGAGTGGCAGTGTCATGAATTCCATAGGTGATTCACATCCCCACAGTGTTATGGCTGGGTAGCGCTGTTGGAGGATCTTACACAGAAATCTAAGAAATAAACAAAATTTGATTTTACTTCACAGTTACTAGGCGCAAGTCAGGTGAGACTAAGATAAAGACACTGAGCCCCCTGCCCACTTGCTGTATGCTTCACTGCCTCTTCCAGAGGTAAGTGAGGGCTCTATGCCAGAACCCTGCCACCACCACTGGCATCTGGCAAGGCAAGTCCCTGGGGCTTTCACCCTCCTACAGATCCCTCCAGAGAGGGGTCCAGGTGTGTTTGCCAGCCTGCTTGAGTGCCCTTAGAGTCCTCTGACCACTCTAGGTTCTCTAGTCTGCAGCCAGGACCTGCCAGGGTCAGAATAACAGCCCCACATTCAAGGATGCCATACAATCTCTTCTTCATTGCCCCATGTTGCTGGCAATGGAATACCCAGCTTGCTGGCTTTGAGCAGGACATTGTGTGTCTCATTCCTTAGAATGGCAACATCGGAAAGGACTAGGGAGTGGTCACAGATAAAGAGGTGGTAGCTCTGCTCCACAACCTGTCTCTGCAAGGAGCAGAGATCCATGCCGGGGTCTCCTCCCCACTGCTGCCCACTCCATGCAGCTCTGGATCTCTTTTCCCTACGGAGCCAGGTTGTGTGGCAGGGACTAGTAGCCTTGCTCACCGCTCTGCGCTGCTTCCCTGCCTCACAACGTGGCGTGACAGGGATTAGAGATCCATGCGGGGGTCTCTTCACCTGCACAGAGGGCAGCGGCCCTCCCCTTCCTCTGGACAAACCACCCACAGCCTGTCCTGCTTCTTGCTGGGGCCCCTACCCCCAGCCCCAAGCCCCGCCCAGCTGGGTAGGGCTGTGTGAAGCTTGCAGCCTGTTTGAAACAGATTCAGCCAAAATGAAACATGACAGTAATCTGGGAGACCAAAATGAATCACTGGCCTCCAAAAGGGCCAAATCCAAAACCGAACTGAAACACAGCTGTTTTGCACAGCCCTACTAGATACCACGTGTACAGGCCCAGTAACAGACACTAGCACAGAATACTACTGAGATTCCTGTCTTGCTCCACAACACAGTGAGTGCAGTAGTTCAACAGGCATCTATGCACATACCACTGACTCCCAGTGCAACTAGACCATCTCTTGCTGGGGGAGGGATCCTTGGGGAGCCACAAATGCTAACTGCAGGACAGGTGCCCTTCTCACCTCTAGGATGTACTCACCACTTACCAATCCCATCTAGCAATAGACTCAAAAGTCTCTGGCTCAGTAGACTCATGAGTCTCTGGCTCAGTAGTTCACAGGGGTACGTAGGATGGAAGGGCCATGAATGATCCCCCACTTTCCCCTACCAAGATGTGAAAAAGGAGGCGAGGAGCCTCCCTTCTGGACTCTCCAGCCCTGGGGACTACCAAGGAGTGGAGGACAATGTCCATTCTCTGAGCAAGTACCTTGACTTTGTGCAGATCCTTGTGGGAGCTTGGCTGCCCGGGACCCTCCCTTCATGTAGATACAATAAACTGACTCTGGGCCGCTTCTCTGCAAACCAGGCCGTAGGTACCCTCTCCCTCAACACCACAGGTGTTACTGAAACCAGCCTTATTGGAGATTCCAAATGTTTCCCACCCTGCATACCTGGTGTGAAAGGTGCTTCGCCAGACATCACTAGTGTGCTGTGCCAAGGGCTACCCGAACATCTCCTGGATCAGCCTAGCCCGCACTGTCCTTCCACGCTGTTTCTCCACACGGTGTCTGAGAGCCCTTCTCCGGCACGCTTGTCTGACTTGTCTGAGGGGTGCGATGCCTTCTGTCTCCTCATCAGTCTCTTCTAATTCCTCCAGGCTTGTGTACCCAGAGGTCCCCAGTTCACGGCTGCTGTCCTCTGCCGCCTCCTCCAGGTCTGTTTCATTCTCCTCATCCACATCCAACCCCTCAGGCAGAGGAATCCCACGTCGTATGGCTATGTTGTGCAAAACACAACATGCCACAAAAATCCTATTGACCTTCTCAGGGCTGTACTGTAATGTGCCACCAGATGCATGGAGACATTGCCAGCGCATTTTGAGCAGGCTTACAGCTCTCTCCACAACTGACCTGGTACGTTTATGGGCATGGTTGTATTGCAGCTCAGCATCACCCTCGGGATGCGCCAGTGGAGTGAGGAGCCATGGCTGGAGGGGGTAGCTGTGATCACCTATGCAAAGACAACAGAGTGATAACAACTAAGATTGGGGCCTAGGCTGTCCCCCAAGAGGCACAGTTTCTCATGCAAGCCATTCTACCAAATGCTCTAGCAGGTGAGAAAGGTTGGTTGCGGGGCCAAGATGGGCACAGTGGGGGATAGAGAGATGGAACTCCTTACCTAGCAGCCACCCAGGTGTGAACTCTCCGCGGCGGAATCGCCTGAGGAGAGCTGACTGGGACCACACGGAGGAGTCATGGCTGGAGCCAGGGAACCTGGCCAGGACATCGGTGAATTCAAGGCGGGCGCTGCTGACCACCATCATATTCATGGCATACGTGCGGTGCCTGTTCACAAACGTGTGGGAGTCTTGCGCAGGTTTCTTGATGTTCACGTATGTGCCATCCACAGCACCCAGGACTTGGGGGATGTTTGCGATCTCAAGGAAGTCCCGCATGGTTTGTCCTTGGGTGCTGGGGTCCGTGGGGAAGGTGATGTAGTCTGGGGTATGCGGGATAAGGGCCTCCAGGAACTGGCCCAGAACCCTAGAGGCTGTGGACTGGCCAACACCTGTGGTCTGAGCAGCAAACCTCTGGAAAGAGCCGGAGGCCAGAATAGCAAGGGCAGTACTGACCTTGTCTGGGACTGAGAGTGCAAAGTTGGTATTCTGAGATGCTCCCAGGCTGCCCCGCAGCAGATCACACAAATGATACATAGCATCTGCTGTGAGTCGGTACCGCTGGATGCAGACCCGGTCACTGAGCCCCTCAAAGGTCTGGTGTGGTTGGTATACCCGAGCCTGGGCCTGTTGCCGGGCCCGGGCTCGGGCACGAGGCTGGGGCCGGGCTGGACCCAAGACCAGAGCCTGGGCTGTGGCCTGGGGATGAGCTGGACCCAGGGCCTGAGCCAAAGGCTGGGTGCGAGCAGGACCCAGGCCCTGGGCCTGGGTCTGAGGCTGTGGGCGAGCTGGACCCTGGGTCCGGGCCTGAAGCTGCGGGTGAGCTGGACCCTGGGTCCGGGCCTGAAGCTGCTGGTGAAAAGGACCCAGGGTCTGTGCGTGGGGGTGGGACTGAGAGCGGGGCTGGGGCAGGGACCGAGCCGGACCCAAGGCCAGAGCCTGAGTCCGGGGCTCCCCCTGGGCAGCCCGTCGCCGCCGAATGGCCAACACCATGGGGTGAAGGAGCATGTTCTTGTCTGTTCTCTGGCCAAACCACAGTTTGCACCCCACTCCTAAGTGCACTTCCCAGCCAGCCACAGCCTACTCAGGACTTCCCTCCCAACCTTCTCTGCCTATGGGCACCCTGTTTCCAGGCTGTCTACCCCAGCTGTGCCTAGCCTGCCTCCGTACCCCACTACGACACCATCTCTTCCCCTCTAGTCTCTGCCTGTCCTGTACCCAACTCTCCACTCTGCAGGGTCCCCCTCACTGGCCTGCCTCACACTCGCACCGCGGGACACCTACCCCTTCTGGGCAGCTTGGGGGTGTCCTGGCTGTGAAGCTGGGCAGCAGGCTGGGCAGCACCTGCTGCAGGCTGCTCCGTCCAGCTGGCCTTGCTAGTGGCACTGCGGCCGCTCTTTTTTTACCTGGGCTGGGGGCAGAGTCACCCTGGGGCACGGGCGGGTGCAGCGCACCTACGGGGAGGACTCGCTGGCGACAGCTGGGGGTGCCCCAGCTCCCTGGTAGCTGGGCAGTGCAGGCTCCACTCAGTTCTGTAAAAAAAAAAGGGGAGGGGGGAGGAAAGGGTTGTAGTGCTGTCAGGCACGTGGCAGGTACAGAATCAGGCCCAGGTTGATCTGGAAGGGAAGTGGGGACAGGATCAGGCAAGGTTGATCTGGGGGGGAAGGGATCAGGCTGATCTGGGGGGGAAGGAATAGGATAAGATAGGATCAGACTGATCGGGAGGAAGTGGGGGACAGGATTAGGTCCAGGCTGATCTGGGAGGGAAGCAGGGGGCAGGATCAGGCTACTTTGGGATCGGATCGGATCAGGCCCAGGCTGATCTGGGGGGAAAGTCAGGCCCGGGTGGCGGGCACAGGACAGGGGTGGGTGTGTATGTGTGTGTGTGGGGGGGG